AACAACCTGATCACTTAGATGATTTACCATAATTAACAACCTGATCACATAGATGATTTACCATAATTAACAACCTGATCACATAGATGATTTACCATAATTAACAACCTAATCACATAGATGATTTATCATAATTAACAACCTGATCACATAGATGATTTACCATAATTAACAACCTGATCACATAGATGATTTACCATAATTAACAACCTGATCACATAGATGATTTACCATAATTAACAACCTTATCACATAGATGATTTACCATAACTAACAACCTGATCACATAGATGATTTACCAGAATTAACAACCTGATCACATAGATGATTTACCATAATTAACAACCTGATCACATAGATGATTTACCATAATTAACAACCAGATCACATAGATGATTTACCATAATTAACAACCTTATCGATGAATACTGTTTGTTATTTTGAAGAAGCTAAGAAATGGTTGTCTCTGGAGGGCATGTGACAGGTCTCCAGTATGTTGTTCAGTGAATGAGCCAGTGCAGTGTCAACATTGACCTGAAGTTGGTTTCATTGATCCAGTTTATAGCAGCAGCGATGTCTTAGGACATCTACTTCAGGATCTTTAGCATCATATGTCTTCATCATGTAGAAAAGTTGAAAATAGAACAGGATTTTAAGTTGGGGGAGAAAGCTTTTTGAAGGACATTTATCTCAATACAGTATGTACTCAAAGATGTACCTGCAATGTTAGAGCAGACAAAACACAGCTTTCATATGTAATCTTCCTGTTTAGGGACAAGCGTGAAGTTGGTTTCATTGATCAGTATGGGTGCTTCGACAAGCGGCTCTTTAACAGTTAACACAGGATGTTAAGCTGAATGTTTAGTGTCACACGGGGAAAGCATTGGCTGCATGTTTTTTTTCTATCGTGACATTATTTTTAATTCCAGTTCTTTATGGTATTTTCTGTGACAGGAGTTTGAAATTGTGGCACATTGTATGTTAAATGGAACCTATCATTTTTGTGTGTGTTAAATCAGGCTTCTGTTTTGATACACTAACCTTATACACTTGGCTTATTGTGCCATAGACGACTGTGCATTATTCAAACTTTTTCAGGCATCAAATGGAATCAGTGACGCTCTACCTGAGGTATTGTAGGATTTAGATATAGGTAAGTAGGATTTAGTACAGATGATTTCACTTTCAAAAATGTCTGTATGTAACTTTACCTGTACAGGTATGTTACAACATAAATATATTTGTATTTACCTGTGTAATGGTAGCGAATCATATGTATACTTATATCCAATACATTTCAGATAAAATGAGTGTTCAAATAAACATGTGTACATAAACATTTGCATTTTAGTCTGTACAGGTAAAACTTAGTCAGTTGTAGCATTAGCTTACGTAACATCAAGTGAAGTACCATGGTGCATAGTACGACACTGTCTACCTGTGGCAGTTTGTATTTTTTAGACCAGTCTGTTCTGACATAGTTGTATCCATGGTAAAGACACTTTACCATTTTTGCTTTGAATGACATGTGATGGGCCTCCTGTATGTTGTTCAGTGGGGTAGCCACCAGCTACAAGGAGGTCCTGCCTCAAAATGACCCTAGCAACAAACCCAAAAACAAGTGTATATCTCTAGTAATTTCAAGTCTGAAACATTGATCAATTACTTGTAGCTGTAAATGTATAAATAGGACCTATATTGAAACGGATAAGAGATTTTTTTTTTCTTATGATCAGCCAGGATGATTCAATATTGATTGAATCAGTATCGATTGTAAATATTGTACATTTCTGTCGTCAGCCACTGAAGTCTGTTGTAAACTCAAAGAGTCCTCAACCTTAAATTAAGTCTTCTATTATTATTATTATTAATTGTTATCATTATTTATTGTTATTATTGTTTATTATTATTATTATATTTACTTAACTGACAACTCATGATTTTATGTGGAAATCTGATACAAAAATATTGGATCCCATAGAATTTGAAATGAAGACAGAATCTTTAAGAGACTTGATGTAAAGACTTCATACAATATGTTTTCATCAGCAAAAGTTACAATATGTACTTTTCCAGATTTTCTTTCTCTAATTTAGAGAGATGATTTTAGTAGGGAAAAATGTTACGTTAAGATGAATTATAAGGTTATGCCATTTTTTTTTTGTCTTACAATGGAATTTTTTTTCTTTCTAAAAAGCATTAATAAGAATTATGGCTAAGCCATTTGGAGTGAGTGTGGTATTGTAACTCATGTATTTCAAACAAATGTAACAAAATCATTTTGACAATAATCATTTAAACTTAAGATTAAGGAACTCTTGTTTCTTTGAATGTTGTATTTAGTGTGGTCCTTACTAGTTCATGGTGTTTTGTTTTTGGTTGTTTATTCTTTCAGACACTCTCTGTGTGTTTGTCGAGGAAGATACTAATCGCGAAGTCTTGTTCAGCCACATGCACACGTGATGAACATCTTGATTAGTGAGACTATTTGTTGCTTTGTCTGACATCTTGCTCTCCGCCATTGGCGCAAAGCATTATTGAGAATTCCACTTTTGTGTTGCATCATTATGACTGATAGTGGGTGTAAAAAATGTCCACTTTTTTTTTTCTTTGCACATGTTATCTTTATGGCTTGCTTCACAAGCAGCCACTCAATCTATGCTCACTATCATACTGTATATCATCGTCCATATACTCATGTCCATCAATGTGCATCATGCATCATGCATTCAGTGTCTTACATATTTTACTGTTTTTTTTTTTTTTTTCTTAGAAATAATCTTCTGAAGATTGCAGTGGCTACTATTACAATTTGCAGTAGTAACCTTTAGAGAGAAAGGATTAAAAGTTATTTAAGTTCTCACCGAGGCCCAGACACGGTGGTCATGTGATCATTATTGGTTCATATTTGATTTATTGTCTGGTTTTGGCCAGTGATATTTTTGTTCTGGCAAAATTAAAGCCCTGCTCTTCCAGGGAAAGGAACTATAGGGCCAGAATGGGAAAATTTTCACTTTTTTATGAAAATCTTTTGTGTGGTTCTTAAAATGCCACAACTAACCGATATAGACTGTAGATAACTGAAGGTAATGATGAAAAATTGTACAAGCAAAGTCTCTATGTTGGCTGGTTCCATTGCCTCATAAATATGGCAGCCAGGCTCCTTGTAATATGAGATGGTTACCTAAAAGAAATTGAGGTAAAGAGTCTTGCTCAAGGATACAACAGGTAGGTAGCGTTGAACCACACAACACATCTTTGATCACCTTAGGTTACATAGGCCAAGAATCTACTGACTGAACTATTGCAGACCCAAGACAAATCCCTTGGGTCAAATTTTACTGTTAGGTATACTACTTCTCTCACATCCAGAGACATAATTTTGACCTATTTGGGTTATAACCACTATATGGCTATTGGAAGTGGTAGTTATATAGAAGTAAATGAGACCACACCACAGATTTGACCTTTTGGTACTGGATGACTGTTAAGCTCCTGGAAATTGAAAGACACCGTTCACAGAATAAACACAAAATAAAGTACGCTTATACTGAATGCCTTTATATGGACAGACAATACCATTTGAGGTTTCTTTTTAAGGTAGGTATAGGTGTGTAGAATGTTCCTATTTGGGCAAGCAGTCATTTTTGGATTTCCTTTAGAGTAAGCACACTTGTTAGGAATGTCCTTATTTGGGCAGGCACTGACATTGGAATTGTTCTTTGAAGATGTACTCCTCTGAGGTGTAAGTAAAATTCAGTACTAAGCTTTAGTTCTGGTGATGATTTTTTTTGTAAGATTGGATTTTTAGAAAGTAATTTAAAAGCAAAAAATCAATATGTTGTTAGACTTCTGTTTCTGAAACAGGCGTCAGAATGTGTAACAGGAAGTAATTAATTTTTCACAAATTGTTTTTTTATTTTCTCCTGAATAAAATTTACTCATTGTTATTTTTGCAGCAACCTTTTTGGATAATAATTTTTTGTTTTTCATGGAAAGCAAATACTATGATACTTGGATGTTAAGAGAAAATTGATAAGATGCCTTAATTGAAATATCATTATGACAGCCATGGCGGCCATTTTGTAACATAGTTGCATGGTTTTCCTGAACAACACTAGTTAAAAACTTTTTCCTAAGTGCCACGTGTGGGATTCAGTATTTCCTAAAACAATCCTGAAATGGACCAGACCAGGTGGTACTAATTTTTTGGTCAGTACACAAACTAACATGTCCGCCTTGGTGGCCATCTTAAAAAAGAATTTTAGTTTCACTTGTCATTGAGAAATTAAAGGTGATCTAACCTTTACAGCTATTCCAAACTGTTTTAATAATTAGTAACTGGTTTTGCTGCTACTACAGCTTTTATTTGATTTTTTTTTTTCCATTTATATGTCACATGACTGTGAAGCGTATTGGTCTCTTTTTGTGTACACTTTCAATTCCTGTTCAAGTAGACTTAATTCAGTTGACATTTAAAAATCACTTTTGAACGGATTTATGTACCACTGTATATATACATATAGTTAACTTTAGATTAGGTTATCCTTTGTATGTTCAGGCTTTTAATTCTGGTGTAGATTAACTTATTCAATTGAAAGTGAGGACAAGATTGCTTATCATTGCTGGAAATCATAACAAGATCAAAAGCCTAAATATTGATCGTCCGATTTAAACTTCACACATTGTGATATATCAAATTTTATAAACATTCCTATGGAAGTTTTGTAACAGGAAGAAGTCAACTATTAGACTACAACAGGATGTCGTGAACACAGTTTACAACAGGACATTTTTCCTGAAGTAGACAGGATATACTAAGAATTAGATATATATGCACTGTTATAGATATATAAACAAGCTGTGGTTGGCTAAGAAATCTCCATCCAGATTGTGTGATCCACTTTTGGAATAGATGTGCAGTTAGATTCAAGTTGGTTTCAGTGGTAAGTAAATTTGAACTAATAAATTAATTTGTATCACAAAATAACATCTACTGTCTAATGTTTGAATAGTTGGTAAGGTATGTTGGTGGAATGGGGGTTGGATATGTGTGTTGGTGGAATGGGGGTTGGATTTGTATGTTGGTGGAATGGGGGTTGGATTGGTGTGTAGGTGGAATGGGGGTTGGATTGGTGTGTAGGTGGAATGGGGGTTGGATTTGTGTGTAGGTGGAATGGGGGTTGGATTGGTGTGTAGGTGGAATGGATTGGTGTGTGTAGGAGGAATGGGGGTTGGATTGGTGTGTAGGAGGAATGGGGTTTGGATTTGTGTGTAGGTGGAATGGGGGTTTGATTTGTATGTTGGTGGAATGGGGGTTGGATTGGTGTGTAGGTGGAATGGGAATTGGATTTGTGTGTAGGAGGAATGGGGGTTGGATTTGTATGTAGGAGGAATGGGGGTTGTGGTGTGTAGGTGGAATGGGAATTGGATTTGTGTGTAGGAGGAATGGGGGTTGGATTGGTGTGTAGGTGGAATGGGAATTGGATTTGTGTGTAGGAGGAATGGGGGTTGGATTGGTGTGTAGGTGGAATGGGAATTGGATTTGTGTGTAGGTGGAATGGGAGTTGGATTTGTGTGTTGGTGGAATGGGGGTTTGATTTGTGTGTAAGTGTGGAGTTGGATGTGTGTTGGTGGAATGGGAGTTGGATTTGTGTTGGTGGAATGGGAATGGAATGGGAATTGGATTTGTGTGTAGGAGGAATGGGGGTTGGATTTGTGTGTAGGAGGAATGGGGGTTGGATTGGTGTGTAGGTGGAATGGGAATTGGATTTGTGTGTAGGAGGAATGGGGGTTGGATTGGTGTGTAGGTGGAATGGGAATTGGATTTGTGTGTAGGTGGAATGGGAGTTGGATTTGTGTGTTGGTGGAATGGGGGTTTGATTTGTGTGTAAGTGGAATGGGGGTTGGATTTGTGTGTTGGTGGAATAGGGGTTGGATTTGTGTGTAGGTGGAATGGGGGTTGGATTTGTGTGTAGGTGGAATGGGGGTTGGATTGGTGTGTAGGTGGAATGGGAATTGGATTTGTGTGTAGGAGGAATGGGGTTTGGATTTGTGTGTAGGTGGAATGGGAGTTGGATTTGTGTGTTGGTGGAATGGGGGTTTGATTTGTGTGTAAGTGGAATGGGAGTTGGATTTGTGTGTTGGTGGAATGGGAGTTGGATTTGTGTTGGTGGAATGGGAATTGGATTTGTGTGTAGGAGGAATGGGGGTTGGATTTGTGTGTAGGAGGAATGGGGGTTGGATTGGTGTGTAGGTGGAATGGGAATTGGATTTGTGTGTAGGTGGAATGGGAGTTGGATTTGTGTGTTGGTGGAATGGGGGTTTGATTTGTGTGTAAGTGGAATGGGAGTTGGATTTGTGTGTTGGTGGAATGGGAGTTGGATTTGTGTGTAGGTGGAATGGGAATTGGATTTGTGTGTAGGAGGAATGGGGGTTGGATTTGTGTGTAGGTGGAATGGGAATTGGATTTGTGTGTAGGTGGAATGGGAATTGGATTGGTGTGTAGGTGGAATGGGGGTTGGATTTGTGTGTAGGTGGAATGGGAGTTGGATTTGTGTGTAGGTGGAATGGGGGTTTGGATTTGTGTGTAGGTGGAATGGGAATTGGATTGGTGTGTAGGTGGAATGGGGGTTGGATTGGTGTGTAGGTGGAATGGGAATTGGATTTGTGTTGGTGGAATGGGAGTTGGATTTGTGTGTAGGTGGAATGGGAATTGGATTTGTGTGTAGGAGGAATGGGGGTTGGATTTGTGTGTAGGAGGAATGGGGGTTGGATTGGTGTGTAGGTGGAATGGGAATTGGATTTGTGTGTTGGTGGAATGGGGGTTTGATTTGTGTGTAAGTGGAATGGGAGTTGGATTTGTGTATTGGTGGAATGAGGGTTGGAATTGTGATGTTATACGAATTCATGTTCATTCGATGTATATCAAAGTATCAAACTAGTCTTGTCCACAAAGTATAGCACATGGAACATTCAGTTTTGCCATGACATATTCCAGGGATGTAGAAAACGAAAGTGATTGTAACCACTGGAGTATCAAGGATGGACTTATCTATTGCTATTAAAATTATTAAGAATGATTGAAAAATTTGGCAGTCATAATTAATTCTGTAACATTTTCCCTGGTATTCCAGGACCAAGATAGAAAGGAGGATTCAAACTCATAGGAAAATACATAATATTGAAGACCCTGTGGTTTTCAGTGATATTTTGTGTTGTGAGTTTGAATCTATTCTATATGTCCTTCCATTTACCTCTGTTTTATCATCAGAATGCAGAAGTAAAAAAAACTTCAAATGGTAGTAAGACTTTGAGAAATGAAATGAATGGGTTTCTTTTCCTTATGTAGTCAGTAAGTTATGTCACAGCCTGCCAAATGGAACTTGACAATTTCTGCGCTATTAATTTGAAATGTACATCACTAAGTTGTCTGGACCTTTCAGCCAGATAGTAACACTATACATTGAATATGGTGGTCAATCTTTGGTCTGGTTGTTAGGGAGACATAAATGATCAGAAAACTCCTAGCCTAAATTGGATGTTGTGTTTAAATGGAAATGTTGCACAAACGTTTGAGCTGAAATCAATGACATACAAGGTAGTCTTTTTTAACAAACTATTGTAAAGTGACTTATATTAAGAAACTTCTGTGAAGTGTCATACATGTGTATGTAGATTAAAACTTGGAGATAAGAAAACCAGACTACGGTTCTAAACCCCAAAATTGGCCTGATGGCATGTGGATAGCGTGTACATGGGCTATCAATTTAATAAATCCAGTTGGCATCTACTTATTACACAGGTTTTACTGAGGTAATGAAATGCAACTGAAATTGAAATTAGACAAAAATCTCATGCTAAGATGATGATACATTTTATAATGAAACAACTGTGAGACAGCACGTGTTTTTTGCACAAGGTTAACTTAAGAACTTTTATTTACCTCATTAGTGACCAGAAGGGCCAAGTGAGCTTTATGGCATACTGCATCATTCCTCATCCATTCCTCCTTCTGTCCATCTGTCAACTTTTCCTACAAATACTTAGTACAAGACATGAATGAATCAGCAGATTTGGACCAAATTCTGGAAGAAAAGCAACCTAGTTAGAAGACAGATCAGTTTTGTATGAAAGGTTGGTTTTGGCCCAACAAGAGTAAAATCTTTTTAATCCTTCTTCCTCTATAGGAATGTATAGATTCTATCCCTATTGCCCTTTAAACATCCTTTGGTGAAGGAGCTTCTGTTTTGTATTAATCCACCATTTGACAAGGAGAGTTGAAGATTAGTTCTGGACTTTCTATACATAACACTATCGGAAAATCAGCAGACTTTTGATGTCTTACACGCCACTAAAGCTCGTAACTTTTTACACATGTTCCGCAATTAACTGAATTGGTTTAATAGATAGTTGGCTATCCAGCTTACAGTACATCTTTGTGTTTAAATATTTATTGATCAAATTGGCCAGGACATTGGTAGATTGTTCTAAACCCCAGAGATGTATTAAACAGTTCTTGCTTTGAGAATGTCATTGGCAAATGAACAGTTCTTAATAAATCATGAAAGTCAGCAGTCTGATATATAGACGTAATGGATACCTGTAAAAGAACCAGGTGTTTATTACCCTAATAATTTGTTTTTGTCTTGATGCTTGGACAGAATCTGGCAGTAAACGATGGTGTGTAAATGTTACGTGACATGTACCTGCTAAATCATTGAACTGTCTGTCTCTCTGTGATGGATCATGTCTCTCTTGTGCTTATTTCAGGCTATTTTTACCATGTAAGTATAAGCTCAGACCTCCTTCGTAGGAGTTCCACACAAAGAAATCAATTAAAAAGAATATAAATAAACTAGAATGATAATCCTCCGACAGAGTTTGCAGAGTTTATCGCCCTGTGAACAGCAAGGGTCATTTAGAGGTGGGGTCTCCGTTTAGTAGCTGGTAGCTACCTCACTGAACAATATATGAGAGGCCCATCACAAACTGTCTAGGGCAATTAAGGTGAAGTGTCTTTATCAAGGTTCCTGAAAAACACTAGCCGTCATGGGTTTAGAGCATTAGACCACATCTTAGATCTTCACCAAACTTTCAGTAATCCAACGTTCGAACTGTAGAAAAGGAATATTAGAGTAGTCTTTGAGAAATAGGAGTCCAGCGATTTGTTTAAGTATGATATTTTATGAACCATTTATTATTCGCATTTTCACGATTTTCATGCAAGAAGTCGTCAACTGACGAACTCTTAACACCGGGTTTCAAAAGATGCAGGTTGATGAAAATCATGGGGAAGTTTTACGGTTGTCATAGTGATCTCGTAAAGAAATATTTTGATGCTCATTAGTTTGCCTGTGGATTCTGTTGTTTAATACCTTGTTCTCATTTGGTAACGCAACATTACCTAATTTGATTGACCATGGAACAGCTAGTCTAATATATTCTTCTTGTACTTTTTCAGGAGTCTCCATGTAAATCTGTCTTTTGTTCATGTTTTGCCCTAGTTTTATTGACTTTGGGTTTGGATTATGTTGACATGTTGGTATGTTTCTTATAAGCTTAGAGGGCTTATGCACAACTGTACATGTGACACATCATAGAGAGATAGGCTGACTAATGACAATCATATTGCATTTGTTGTTTATCAAGATGAAAATGCAATAGAGCTGGATGGTCTTAATAGCAGTCACAGATGAATTTCTGTCATCGCAATAAGTTAAGCTTGACACTTCCTTGATCACTGTTTTGTCACCAATGTATGCACAATAACTTTTCGGTAACGATTTCTCCGGCAACCTACAGTAAACATGCAGCAAGACATTATATTACACGGGATTAAAGTTAAACTGTCAATTGTGGTTTTACTGAAAGTCTGTGTCAGTCAATCAACAAATTTTGTGTTTATTCTGAATGTTTGTTATTTTGTATCCTGTTTTGAACGTTTGTTAGCATGAGATGTGACATGATATGAAAGCTGCAGAGGCTGGCCGAGCAGTCGGGACGCTGTAAGCTTGACAATCATAACATAGATGAATCCAGGTTTGTATGGACTTTCATGATGGCAGGAGGCGAGCTTGGCAAGGTGTGCATGGAAGGTATACTGACTGCTTTATCACTGAGCATGACTCTTTCAGTGGTTGCTTGGTAATGGTTTGGGCAGGGATCAGTTTTGAAGTTGGACCGACTTGTATGTAATTAAAGGTGATAGCCTCAAAGGTTTACTGTAAAATCCTTCATCCAATTGCAAAAACCCTTTTGTGAGTGCTGTCAGCCCAGAGTTCGTCTGATGGACGATTCTACTCAACCACATAAAGCTAGACGTGTGATGAGTGCCTTCAAACATATAACTGACCTAGTCTTTCATCCATCCTTAACACAATCGAGCATGCATTACCGATCGCAGTGGCTTCCTGTCTTTGTCAAGAATGGCCACGATTTTCACAAATGGAAACATGACCCTGATTTGCAGCTTGCTGAGTTGATGATGTGCATTTATTGGGGCCAATGGAGGACACACTCACTATTGATAGTGTTGCTAAACCCACTGAAGCATTTAGAATTTTCAGTGCCATTGGGACTTTATTCTTGTTTTAGAGGATTATGAACTTTTTAGCCCACCATTCAAATCACTCTGCATTCGTGGTCAGTGGTCTGTCTCTAAAGAACTTTTGTTATCGCTATTTCTTGAGAAGTATGGGATGGATCTTTCTCAAATTGCATATGTAGGTTCTCCCCTTGGTCCCTAATTGTGCTCATTTGATTTTGGGATTGATCAAAAAATCAAAATGGCTAGTTTGGATTTTGACTTTGAAAGTTTGTTATTGCTATTTCTTAAGACGTACTGTAAAGATCTTTCTCAGATTTCATATATAGTTCCTTTTAGTCCTTAGTTGTGCCAGTCTAATTTTGGGACTGATCAGAAATACAAAATGGCTAACAGGCAGCCATCTTGGATTTTGACTTTGCAAGTTTTTTGCCTGGTAGAGATTGTTATCGCTATTTCTTAGGAAGTACTGAATAGGTATCTCTCAAATTTCATATGTGTGTTCCCTTTAGTATTTTCTTGTGCTCGTTTGAATTTGGGACTGATCAGAAGAACAAAATGGCTTTCAGGGGACCATTTTGGATTTGGCAGGTAAAGAATATCATTGCTTTTTCTGCAGAGGAATGTTCAAATTTCTTATCATTAAGAGCAAAAACAGAGAAGAAAAGAGAAAAGAAAGGAAAAGATGCAACTTTCATGTAAAGATCAAACAATGGTTGGTGCCAAGATCCCTCTTGGATCTCTTCTTATGTAATCATTCAGTAAAGGTCAAAATTGTTTTCTTACCATTTGACTTAACTCTCTTAGTTCATATTCCAAAAGGTTTTGCCTTTTGATACAAATAAATTTATCTTTAAACTGTGATCCCTAACTTTTCTGCCAGGTATGGGTAATATTAACATATTCAGTCTTATGAAATTAACAAGATTCTCTAATTCTATTGATTTTTGTATAGATTTCTGATAAAAGTTATAGGACATTTGTTTACTTTCTGTGAATTGTGAAACCTAAAACACTGTTCAGGAAAAACAAAAAATGTATGTCCACAAATTACTGATAATTACAATCATCAAATGTGGTATAAATTGCCAACATCAGCATTAACAAAAGAGTAAATCCACAGTACGATTGGCTTTGGGTCGCGGTAATTTTCACTTTCAGCCATGCAGCATAATAGATGTTGATATTTGATGGAGAGGTCACTCTCGCTCATGAATATAGATAACAATTTTGTTTATTTTACAACAAATTTTAATTAACCAACTTTGAGTAAACAGAAAAACTCTCCTGGTCGGGAAGTCAAACCCTGGTTGTATTGGTGAAAGGTGATTATGCATGAATTACCACTATGCCACTTGGCCTATA